ATTTTGCCACTTAAATCTTATTGCAAAATAAAACATAAGATTAGATTAGAAGGAACTAATGCATTTAACATTAGAGGCTTTTGGAGAAACCCAATTAATACCTGTTGGGACAAAAACTGTCATTTGCAAAGTCAACAAAAAAGCTATTAGAACTCAGTTTGTTATCATAAATGATAATCAAACAATTCCAATCTTGGGTTTAAAAAGTTGTATTGATTTCAATTTAATTAAACGAGTTGATTTAAATGAGGAAGTAGATTCAAAAAATGATTTCATTAATATGAATAAAGACATTTTTGATGGTTTAGGATCTTTTTCTATTGAAAACATCTAAAAAAAGCTAATTTGGCAACAAGAGTTCCTGCAGCAATTAGAGATCGTTTAGAAAAAAGTTTAAATTTACTTGCTGAAAATGGGATTATTATTAGCAAAATAAATAATGAAACATCTGAATGGGTCAACAAGATAGTTGTTGTTGAAAAGCTAGACAAATCATTACGAATTTGTTTGAATTCTAAAGAACTAAATGAATTTATACTGAGAGACTTTTATGAAATTCCCACTCTGGATGACATAAACCAAAATTAGCTCATAAAAAATTATTTTCACTTTTAGATATCAAAGATGGATTTTGGCATGTGGGACTGACACAAGAATCTATTAGCAAATTTAGTACACCTTTTGGACCAAAGTTTTTCAAAAGTTAAATTTTAAAGCAGGTACTAGATAGAGCTATGCAGTTTAATGTAAAATTTAATCCTGAAAATTGAAATATTGTACAAATGAAGTTAAATATCTAGGCTTCATATTTAATGGGCAAGGTGTAACAGTTGATCCGAGTAAAACAAATGTCATAATAAATTTTAAAAATTATACCAACAAAAAAGAACTACAAAGAATTTTGGGATTAATAAATTATCTTAGAGATTGTATTCTTAATTTAGCTTCCTTAATAGAACCACTAAGAGACTTGTTAAAAAATGATACTGTTTGGTCATGAATGAAAGTAACAGTTTTGAGTGACCATAAACCTTTAGTCAGTTTAGGTCTCGCTCCTCGATCTCACAACGAATAAAAAATTCATCACAATTGAGAATTGAGATCGGGGCGGGTGTGGTATTCTTTGAACAAAAAGAAGTTTATAATTTCTCCTAGACAAACAAGGATTTTGCAGTTAAGCTTCGCCCTCTTGGCTCACGACGAATAAAAAAAATCATCACAATTGAGATGGGGCGGGTGGGCGGGCTTACATTTTGCTTTTTTGTTTTAAAATGTGTAGACTTATTTCGACAACAAGAAACTTAAAACATGTCTAAAATGGTACATTTCTGTAGTAATCAACTTTTGTCTACACCTCCTTTAAATGCGGCAAACGTTTTTTTCTTTGGTAAATTTTTAAAAAATATATTTTTGTTTTTCCGGATTATTTGAACAAATGAACAAAAATGACCACAAATAACAACAAGTTATCCATATGTCTGCACGTTTTTCTCTTGAACAGAGTCTGATTAGACAGTTTTTGAAAATTTTTAGTTTTTAATTCGCCTCTGTTAAGTATTTCCAAAAAAAGCAAAAATAATCTGATTCGCTCTTTGAATATTCTTCCTTAGGCTAGTCTTTTTTATTTTGAATCGACGCCTTTTTACAATTTTTTTTTTTTTTTTTGAAAAACTTGAAAATTATTATTCCGTTTTTATAGGCCAGTCATTTTTCCCTTTCCAACAATATTTTGCAAATCATCTTCCTTTTACTCCTTTTTTATCAAAGATAATTATATGAAAAATTTCCAATTTTTTCTTTTCCATACAACTAATTTTACTTTTTTTTTGAAAATTTTTGGAAAATATTTTTTTCTGGGTTACTTGAAGAGATTAACAAAAATGATCACAACTGATAAAAAGTTATCCATACGTGTACCCATTTTTCTTTTGATTAGGTTCCATTTAGCATTTTTTGACAATTTTAAAAAATTATTCTTTAGTTCATCTCCGTTATTTCCAAAAAAAAGCAAAAATGACCTCAGATTCGCTGTCTGTGAATATTTCTCTTTCCGCTAGTCTTTTAAAACGATGTCCTATCACAGTTTTTTTTTGCCTTTTTTGTTCTTAATATACGTAGCCATTTTTTCGCAACAAGAAACTTAAAACATGGTTAAAATGGTACATTTGTACAAAGGAAATATAGATTTTGCAGTTATGGGGCGGAGTCTAATTGCAAAATCGATATTTCCTTATACAAATTTTCCCGCCCTAGCTCAATTGTGATGATTTTTTATTCGTCGAGAACCAAGGGGGCGGAGCGTAACTGCAAAATATTTATTTCATTACAGGAAATTAAAAACATTTTTTTGAGTATCGTGTTGTTCAAATAATACTATGTATATTAAGAAAAAAAAGAGAAAATATAAACCCCGCCCACCCACCCCATCCCAATTGTGATGATTTTTTTATTCTTAGAAACTTAAAATGTTTTTAAAATGGTAAATTTTTGTAAGGAAATATGGATTTTGCAATTAGGCTCCGCCCCTAGGTCGGCTAACGAATTAAAAAAACTTCATTACTATTTAGATCAGGGCAGGTATGGGTTTTTTCTTAATATACATAGTGTTTTTTGAATAACACGATACTCAAAAATATGTCTTACGTGGTAATTTCTTGTAGAGAAATAATAACGATTCTGCAATTAAATTCCACTCTTTTGGCTCTCAAACGGGGCTTACATTTTGCCTTTTTTACTTGCCGGGGCGTACGCAAAGGAAGTATTGTAATATAGTTGAATGATATTAATATTAAATATTTACCTGGAAGATACACGTATACTGCAGATTTGTTGTCTAGGAATTTTGTTAAAGAAAATGCAAATGAAGAATTATTTATGGAAGATACTGTGCACACTGTCAGAGTTGCGGAAATTAGCTTCACACAACCAAAGTTTGAATAATTAAATTTCGACTCCCCAGCTTTATTTATAAACAACGACGTCATAGCAAAACGCATCTGTGCGTGATGTTCGACGTCCCGCATACTGTTGAATGCGCCAAGGTCATCAAAAAGGTTATGAGTGCAAAAATGTATTTACAGCACATTATCAAGGGGAATACATTACATCGGAAGAATGTCACGTAGACATTTGTTTGATTTGAATGAGTTTATCGCCCCAAAACATGACTAAAATTATTCATAAGCCTCCATTGAACTAAATATTCTGAATGTTATTATAATTTTTACCTTATCATTATTTTATTGTTATAAAGACGAACGTATTCTCACATTTTCCAGAAAATGGGGTGGCTCGTTCTTAATTTGATCAATAATAAATTGACTGATTCATTAATATTTTTGACTCACCTATTTAAGTAAATCTAAAAAATATGAATGTAATGATTAAAAATCTGTTCATATTTTGCACGTTTGCGAAAGAATTTATTCGGCAATTTTTTTTTTTTTTTATTTTTGTGGGGTTGATAAACAGATACATTTTCATTAAAAAGTTACCATGTTTACAATAATTTCAAAACGTCAAGATTTCAAAGTATTCAGTTTTGCAATTCTTGATTTAATCAGTAACATAAATTGACTCAGTCATTAATTTTTTTCACACACCCCGTATAAGCAAATCCAAAAAATATTTATGCAGTGATAAATCACAATTATAGACTCATCATAGTTTGCACAATGCACATTTAAGATAGCATTTTTCCGGAAAAATTTTGGGGTGGCGTGATCATGCCTATGATAACTTTAAAACATCTCCAAGATTTTTTTTTTTGAGTCACCCTGTATATGCAAATCCAAAAAATATGAATGGAATGATAAATCACAAGAAGAGACTCACCATATTTTGTACATTTTAGATAGGATTTATTCGGCAAACTTTTAGGTGAAGTCATCAATTTTTAAGGGGGGATGAGCAATACATACATCAATTAAATAAATTCACCCATTCATTAATTTTTGAGGCAGAAAAGTGACAAAATCAAACAGGTTGCAACTTTTTTCTGAAGAACTGAAGTTTGTGCCTAAACAACTTTGGATAAATTTTTGTCTGCGAAAAGGACCTAGTTATTAAAAATAAGGTCAACAATAAAAACCATGAAGAATGATGCACACAGAGAATAAAGCCATTTTCATACTAATTTATTGAAAACTGATGTTTTTCAATTTAAATCACAGTAGTTTTTATCGTAGATACATATGTATGTATAAGAAAGGAAAAGATAAAAATTCCAACTATACTAATGAAAGCCATAAAATCTGAAAAATTCTTGCATACTATTTTATAAATAAATATCACGTCTTCAATTATTTACTGCGCGTATTTACGTCGATTTAATTCGAATCTATTGGAAATTTGCCATTTCCAGGTAAAACGTTTATCTGAATGTGCACGTAAAGTATAAACGTAATAGACATGCGTGGACAATGTGTCACGAAAGAAAAGAAAATTTGTGTGAAAGAAAATTTCACAAGTATTAATTTGTTTTAGAAATATATATAGTATGTAAATATGCAAACAAAAATTAGGGTTTGTATTTCAATTTATTAGTTACTACGTCCCCTTTATAACGCAAAAAACCAGATTTAATTTTGAATTAATTGTTGTACAAAACATGGATTGTTGTAAAATTAACTGGCGAAATAACAACAACAAATAAATAAATACTTCGGATAGTGTTAATAGTTTTTTGATTTTTTAGGGATACTTCACGTACATACGACGTATGTACCTACGTGTACGTTCTCGCCATGTGGTTGCTGCACGTACAAAATGGCCCTAATTTCATGGTCAAATTCTTGAAAATATAAATTAAAAAACCATCAAGGCGAATGCGCATTAACATATACGTTTAGAACGTTTAATTTCCAATTAATTATTAATAACTACATAACAAATAATCGTGGAATGCGTAACAGACTAAAACAAATTCTTTAATCCCGTTTCGAGTAAAAATATGTCACGTAAGAAGAACATATTCTACACTATAAAAATCCGATACTCACAATCGACTGCAACAAAACATTCAGTAAAGTCTTCAACCACCTCCCTCTGATCAATCACATATTCCAGAGGACCAGTGTTCAGATCCAAGCCTCGGTGCTACGAACAAAACAATAATATCAGCAACACAACCACCTCAAGACCACACACGGACGTACAGACGTGTAATGACTAACAATGCTTTCAGCTGTTCACTGTTGTGTTGTTGCCTCAACTTCTAAACACAAAGAGCAGCTGAGAGCCGAAGAATCAATAATTCGCGACCTAGTCTGAAGCGCACCCCCGCAGTGGCGCCATCCCCAAACAAACATTTCGTACAAAATTACCGCGTGCATGAGCCAAACACGGAAATTGGGTTGGATTTCGTCATGTTTATAGTATTTACACACGAAACAGGAAGTAGGGCTATTCTGGCCCCGTGTTGTTTATATTTAAATCTTGAACTGCACTGTGCTGTTTTCAGCGAGATAACGACTGTTTGACCTCATTGTTCGAAAGATGAGTGGAGTTGCAGCTGCTTACGCTTTAACACACCATTGTTTTTACAGTTAAATAATATGTATTACATTATTTAATAACAATTTTTTTGTTGTTGCATGACATAACCTCAAAAGCTCTTGTCGATGGTCGATTATTAATTAAACTCACCTGAGGAAGGTATAGTCACATATCATTGCTACAAATGTCCTTTAACTTTTTACACACACAACAAAAATAATATTTGTGGCAAAAATGAAGCTGGTAACGAGTGTAGTTGTTGGTCCGCCTTATTCTTGTGTATTACTGGTTGCAGAACGTATAGGTAGCAATTACTTGTTTGAAAGAAAATACAAAATTTTTAGTACAATTTGTTTAAACTCAGATTCTTACAAATGAAAATTAAGGATCTTTCTTCAATGATCAGACGATTTTTGATTAGAGTTTTACCATCTACACGATATTCCTAAAATACCTATGAAATCTGACATTCGATCCAATAAAAAGGTCATGAAACGTCGAGAAAACATAAAAGTAACAATTCTCCGGATAAATCCTATAAAATGAATTAAGAAAGTCGGTACATATAGGCAACCATGTGTAACTTTAGATCCCTTGCTGGTAGTTCGGTAGCTCATCTAGGGAATTTATGGATAGTAATCTGGTAAGGGGGTTGGTAGTATAGCAGACTGATCTGGCTGAGATACGTCACTTGTTTTCTGTCTGGTATAGGTGCAATCAGAGGTGTAACCACGCGGTAAGCATTATTATAAATTTTATTTTTCCTGTATTACATTGAAAAAATAAGCGACTTTATTCAAGTCAAAGTTTTTAAATATCATTTAAATTGGAAAGATTCTCATTTGCAAATTCTAAAATAGTAAATAATTCGCAGTATTCACGATTTATTTTTTTTTCGTTTCTACTCGGAAACGCCTCTCAAAGTGACGTGCGTACCGAACGATATTGTATGTTTTCGACCATATTTAACACGTGTTTTTTTGTGCGATTGGGGAATTCGATCCACGCAAAAAGTAACAAAACGCCATTAAGGAATCAACGTAAACTAGAAGATAATATAGAAGAGTTAATGAAAATGATACAAAGCATGGGTAACACTATAAACGAAATGTCCACTGAAATTTAAAAAACGAGAAAGGAATAAAGAGAATACAAGGAAGAAATGCAAGAGCTTAGAGCGGAAAATAAGAAACTAGAAGAAGAAAATAGAAAAATCAAGAAAACTATAAATGGATTAATTAAGAGTGTAGCGAAGCTAGGGGAAAAACATGCTGATCAGATTGGCAAAATATGACGACAAGATAAAGGTAATGCGGAACAAAAACAAATTAGGTACGAAAACAGGGGAAAAGATATGTATTTAAAATGATTTATCGAAAAAAGATAGAGAAATACAAAAGCAAATTATAATAAGAGTAAAAAAAGAAACAGAAAACGGGCAAGTCATTAAAATAAGGTATAAAAAACTGTTGATAGGAACTGAAGAGTGGAAATGGGACAACGAAAAAGAAAACCTGATAAAAACGAAGCAAGCAGCTTAAAATTAAAAAAAAACTAACGAATGAAAACACTCAAGTCAGCAACAAAAGAAATGGAGCAGGCAATGAATACGGCAATGAATATGGTAACAAGCAAAAAAATAAAAGAAGAGAAATAAAGTATAGAAGAATAAAACAAAAACAAAAATATACTCATAGGAACATGGAATGTAGGGGGTATTTTTGAAGAAGAAGCTATCAAAAACCTTAAATTAAATTAAAAAAAAAAATTAAAAGATATAAAATAGAATTAATAGCTTTACAAGAAACACATCTGGCAGGTAACGGAATACAAGAAATTGACAAGTACAATCTGTTTAAAAGTGAAGGCGCAACCAGACAGTTTGGGACAGATTTTATAGTGGGGCAGAGGCTTAAAGGAAAAATAATAGACTTTATGCAGATATCAGATAGGATTTGTAGGATAAGGGTAAAAGGACAAAACCAAAATATATTCGTTCTAAATATGATGATGTAAAGGATGCATTCTATGAAGAAATGGACAGCGTTATCGACAAAATACCAAAAAGAGATATCATCATTATAATGGGAGACACAAATGCAAAAGTAGGGAGAGAAGAATTATATAAAGAAATAGTATGAAAACACAGCAAGCATGAAAAATCAAACAACAATGGTCTAACATTAATCGAATTGGCTATAGAAACAAATATGAAAATAGTAAGTAGGTACGCAATTTCAACGAAGGGAACATGGATCATTCCAGGAAGGCAAGAAACAAACCATATTGATCACGTACTGATCCAAGAAAAACGCTCTAGGTTAATAACATCAGTGAAAACCTGTCGAGGGGCCGACACAGATTCAGACCACTTTTTGGTAAGGGCAAAGCTAAAGCAATGGAAAGGGGAAAACAAAGAACACAGGCGGAATCACGAAGTGAGGTATAATACAGAAGAATTGCAAGCAAAGGAAATCAAAACAAAATATGAAGCAGATATAGAAAGAAACGTCGAAAAGCAAGATCTTTCAAGAGAAAAAGGTATAAATACCAAATAGAACAATATAGAGCGAATAGTAACAGAAGCGATAAAAAGACATGTGAGTAAAACAAAAGCAAGACAAAGGAAAGAATGGTTAGACGAAGAATGCGAAGCAGAAATAAAACATAAAAAGTTACTCAGAATGAAAATGTTGGAGATAAGAAACGAAGAAAATACAAGGAATTATAATAGTCAAAGAAAGATAGTTAAGCAAATATGTCCCAGGAAAAAAAGGACTTTTTAGAAAAACAAATAAAAACTATAAAGGAAGCATACCAGAAGAAAGAGATAAGAAACTTTTATAAAGACATACAAAACGTAAAGTCAACAAAATACGAATCTACGTAATATATAAAAGATATAGAAGGCAACTTAACAGGCGACGATGAAGGAAAATTAAAAAGATGGAAACAGTTCTTCGAACAAATATTAAATAGCCAAATCAGAGGAGGTCAGAGAGAAGAGCAAAAACAAACACAAAAAAAAAGAACTTTAAGTAATGAAAGTATAGCAATGCCAACAAGAGAATAGATAGAGGAGATCATAAATCAGATGATAACAAAAGCCCGGGAGAAAAGGAACTACAAAAGAAAACCTAAAATATGGAGGTGAAAAATTGAAAGACGATATCCAGCTGGTAATAAAGCAAATGTGGGAAACGGAAGAAATGCCGGATATCTGGAAAGAAGCACTAATAACGCCGTTCTTTAAAAAAGGTGACAGAAGAAGCTGGGAAAATTATCCTGGGATTGCGTTATTAGATGTTACGTACAAACCACTGGCATCGATAATGAAAAGAAGATTTGAAGCATATATGGAAGAAGCTCTAGGAGAATATCAAGGAGGCTTTAGAAAAGGAAGAGAGGCAATCGAACAAATATTTATGTTGAAACAAATCATACGAATATGAAATTCCTACTCATTTACTCTTCGTGGACTTTAAAAGAGCTTACGATACGGTGAACAGGACGAAGTTAATAAACATATTGAGTTATTGAGAGAACTAGATATTCTCGAAAAACTAATAAATCTAATAAAAATGACATTGAAAAACAACAATAAGCAGAGTAAAAGTAAAAGGAAAAACAAGCGACGTTTCAATGTTAAGGACTGAAGGACTCAGACAAGGTGATCCGTTGTTAACAACTCTATTCAATTTGGTTCTAGAGAATATTATAAGGAAAAGTGATAAAAAGAGGAACTATTCAACAGAACCATCAATGTCTAGCCTACGCAGACGATTTAGTCCTACTAGCTAGGAATAGAAAGGAATTAGAAACGATAACAGCAAGGCTAATGAGACAAGCAGAAGAGGTAGACTTAGAATTTAATATAGAAAAAACAAAATTATTATTATTATTATTAAGGACTCGATCGGGCAGAGGCTATGCCTGTTATGCCCGCGACAAATTGAGTAGTGGCTTTATCTTCAGTATTACTTAGAGATTTTTTGTCGCACAATATGTATCATATTTCGATTTAAAACTTACAACAGATGAAGCTAGCACTATATCCTTGGGTAACGCGTTCCAACTGTCAAACACCCCTATTCGTTAAAAATTTTTGGCGAGCTAAAGTGCAAAACTTCAACTTACGCAACTTTAGAGGATGCCCTCTGGTGCGGTCTGAGGTATTGAGAGGGAAGAGATGCCTCATTGGGGAAAAACTATTACTCAAGGCCTGATAAGTAATGATTAGATCACCTCGTTTGCGCCTGTCTGAAAGAGGGCAGAGATGCATTAGTCTAAGCCGTTCGCAGTAAGGAGGCCGATTTATGTCGAACGGAAATCTGGTTGCTCGACGCTGAATGGATTCCAAGCACAAAATGTCTTTTTGAAGTATGGGAGACCAGACACCATTAGCAAACTCTAGCAAAGGCCGCACATATGTTTTGAAAAGTTTAGAAAAGACTAATGGACTAGCTTTGGAAAATGTTTTAGTCAGAAGAAAGAGCATTTTATTTGCTTTACTCGCAACTCGCTGGATGTGCTCAGTCCATGACAAATTGGAGGTGACAACAACACCCAAATCAACGTGCGAATCTGTACATGAAAGAAGTAAGTTGTCAACGAAATAAACATGTTTGGGGTTATTATTCCCAAGGTGTAGGACTTTGCACTTGTCTAAATTCAAAGGTAACAACCAATCATGAGTCCAGTCATATATTGCTCGAAGATCTCGTTCTAAATCCCTATAATTCGCACTACTGCTGTAAAGCTTGATGTCATCTGCGAACATCACAAAAGGCGAGGTTACGATGTTTTTGATATCGGCAGTATAAGGGACAAAGAGTAGCGGGCCAAGCACAGAGCCCTGGGGCACCCCACTCGCAACATCGACAGATCTACTAAGTCCATCACTGACTTTGACTCGAAATGTTCTATCGCTCAGAAAAGAATCTATCCACCCAAGAAGTTTTCCTCGTATACCAAGATGTTGCAATT